AAATATATATCGAGGCGTTTAGCTTGAAGTTGCTCTCAAGGATTCGGAGGCTAAGGTCATACGAAGGAATCCGAAAAATCAAATTCCGTTTCGTCCAAGCCACCCTGAGGTCTCGAAACATCTGTCTTCATCAGGATATTAAGCTAATGCTACTGAAAGCTGGAAGACAGACTGGCTCAAACCATCAAGTGCTTGACCATAGTGTGCGTCACTAGCTGCGCGCATGACGAAAAGACAGGCGGTGTAGTCCGTTATTGTTGCGTACTGAAAGTTACGCTGTTTCGAAGCACGAGATATCTAGCTACGCGAAATCAATTGGATATGAGCCTAATGCGAAAGTACTAGAGAAGATTAAAATATAACGTTGAGTTCTGCGTCGCAAAGACACTGGTCGCACAGGAAATGACATGATCATCCCGCCTTCACGTGCGACAAGTATCTCTTGTATACTGACGTTTGCGCTCATAATATAGCATATCGAAGTGATGTTTGGTGATGACCTAGTAGACTCGACTGAATGAGGAACAGGAGCTACGGCGGTGCAAAACAAGAATACTATATCAGTGCCTGAAAGCGCTCACACTGTAAACTACGAGTTTTTGAGCAGTTTTAGCTGATAATATTAGTTCAAGACTAGCTAGTAACCGCGCGTAAAGACTCGCTGGGAAGATAGGATAACTTATCGCTTTACACGTGTAGCGACGCTGGGAGGTGCATATACTCACGTGACCATCCCGCCTGTCGCAGCACCCAAGTACCCCCCACAGGCCAGGCCACCCGCATATTCTGCCGCATGCTGGTGCACACTGGGACGATGCAGGAGCATGGTTTGATGTATTTGGGCCTCAAACTCGGCCGTCGTGGGGCGCGAATTCGAAAAAAAAAAGTCGAAGGCTCGAAAATCGCTCAAAATGAAAACCGCGAGTTTTCGAGCGGTTCTGGCCAAGTTAGAAAGCTGTAAAAAGAGGGCCCCAGCTGGGAATTGAACCCAGGACCTCACCCAGTAAGCAAACTGGTGAAATTCCAGCTTACGGGAAACTCCCGAAGGGCGAATCATACTACTAGACCACTGAGGCTTGTTACAATTCGCATCTACGTAGCGTTACTCATTATCGCCCAGGACTTCTGCGAGAATCTTCTACAAAACCATGTCGTTGAGCTCCAAAAGATGGGCGTTGATCATGAGGCCCAATCGCCAGAGATCCGGGTTGCGGTGGATATATGCGGAACAAGCCGAGTGGTCACGTGGCGCCGCTTCGGACTCGGAAAGGTGAGAGCATATGAAAGCTCACCACACAATGCATATAATCACAGTGCTCGACTGCCCTGGACCCACAGTTATATGATTTTCGTGACTTTAGGTAAAATAGTATTCGACATGCTCAATTACCATAATGCATGTAAGTACACTATAGCTCCCAGATTTTAGACCGGCGTCCTCCCGAGTCTAGCGAACGCAACGTAAGGGCAAACACGTGTCATAGGAGTACTAACCATCCGTTCGCTTATTTGCTATGTCCTGCTTTTTGGAGGCTCCCGGGACTTAACGTGCTGGATACGTGCTCAACGATAGAACGCTAGTACAATCGAATCAACTCAATTACACAAACGACATTACTATTGACGCGACACATTTCATTTGAAACTATGATCACACCAACTAGTACATCTGATGAACCGACAATCCATGTATGCTGTTGTTACGAAGAGGTAATGCAGTCATATTCAACGGGACCAAATAAAGAACACTGAAGCATTACAAATAGTACAAGACAAGCACAAACGAGAGATATACTGGAAAGACACGCTATCCAGGCTTCATTTACATACTGGAACGAGCTCGAAAGATCGACGTAGCATCCGTAATTGGGTTCAGTCCTTCAATATGCGGATATATGCGTGTTATGTTACCGTTTTTCTTCCCAGGCGTAAGAGATATATCAGGCTCGTCAACGTCATCGGATATCTTTATTCAACTGCAATATCAAGTTAGAGCTACGTGCATGCACTCTGTATTATCAAGCACCCCTGTTTAAATCGAGCCACGGCAGGCCACTTGCTCCATTCTCTACAACGACCAGCTATAGAGCGTACTTCACTGCACCCTGAGCCTTATGTTTCACTGTCTTTTCTATAAAAAAGACGAGCAGCGCCCCAGGCGCGACGCCTATGGTCGACAAACAAGCAATCTACTCACACCTAAAGCAAACACCCAGCGGCATTATGCCAACGCCAAAGAGGCTTGGGAGATATGTGTCGAGGCCCTTGCGCATCCCGAGGTCGTCACCGACTATTGGGAGGCCAAGACTATTCGCAAGTTTGCTACATCCTACATTCCTTTCCGCGTAAGTCGCTCCAAGCTCTCAGGTATCATCTGCTAACTTGGATGATAGGTTCGGGTGACGGAGGGCCAGAAGAACCAACACGTCCAGGCCATCACCGCCGTCGGTTGGGGCGCACACATC